GACTTGGAGTCAGATGATGATGTTACAGAAGAGCTTCTGCTTCTCTTTCCACTCCAAAACACACTTCTCTGGTACATGCTGCTTGAAGGGTCATTAGGAGCTCCTGCATCTTCTCTACTGAAGCTAGTCTTTGCATCCTCTCTTAGTTGTCTCAGCCATGACCCTTCACTTGTACCTGAAGTTCTTTGGACTTGACCGATGGGAGTAACTGTAATTCCACTGTCTCCTTCTCCATTTCTGGAGGATAACTGGTTGTTCAGATTTGTTGACAGCCTTGTGGGTAGCACGATTAGTAAAAGTCCACCAAGAGCTCTTTTTAATCCTGAAGAGAATGAGTTCCTAGTTGCGCTCAGTCGAATAACTTGGCGATATAAGACATACCATTCGTTGACCAGTTGTGCAGTAAACATGATGATGAACATTGCCAGCATGAAAAACCCTATTCTCCTCTCATTAGCACTAGAGAAATCCTTCTCCAGTAGAGCAAGGCAAGCCCCATATAAACCCACTTCACCAGCTACTGAGATAATCTCAACAAACTGCACCTTCTTTTTAATAAAGGGCTTTTTCAAGACAAGGAAAAAAAGTTGGAAAGAGGTGATGGACAAAATAATGAGGGTTGGAATCCTAGAAGGCCTATTTGATGAATAAGCACCAGCCAAAATTCCAAGAGAGACACGTTTAATTGATTCCAGAAGTGTATAGTAAATTCGGAGGATGCCAAAGAGTTTCTGGATAAACAGGGCTTCTGCATCTTCAGTCTCATCTTCAGAAGCAATGATTCGGTCTTGGTCTTCATGTTTTGCTTGATTCCCCTCACTAGAAATTTGTGTCAACATGTACTTTGGTGGCCCTCTGAGGTCTTCGAATAATGGACCTAGTTTTGTTTGATTAATTGATTTATGTTGATCTGTCCAAGTCCATTGGCCTCTTTTCCTGGGACCAAGAGTTACACGGATAAACTCTTGATACCAATGGAACTCTTGCCCCTCTTGATGAACTTCTTTGTACTGCAGAAGCTTAGCCATTGTGATGCCAATTGAGAGGAACAGCAGCAAGGAGATAAGGAAAGATGTGGAGATACCCAGGAGTGCAACTCCAACAACAATAGCTGTAGATGTTTTCCCTTGTTTCGACAAGAGAAGAAGAAAGTCAATTAGAAGTGATTCAAATATCAGAACGATCTCGACTTTTGAAGAATGTTATACAAATTAAAAGTGATGTTAGCTGAGGCATAGTTGTTATGTGGATTAAGGTAAAATATGACAGGAAAATTGATCAATCTCCAGTAAATTATAATCAATTTCTCTACCGAAAATAAGCACATCTCTACCAATATCTTTGCTACGCTTGATTAAGATGAAAAAGGAATTTATGTTTAGCTGCAGTTACCTTTAATTAAAGCAGCAGATGCCTGGCATATACATGGTAATGCAAGCATAACCAAAATTAATTCGAACCTTGGGAACACCAGAGCTCCATACTCTTCTTGCTTTTCTGAATCCCTCCTCAATTTCAAAAGGCAAAGAATTGCCACATGGAGCAAGGTCAGCCCACCACCAAATATAGCTAACCAGAACATGTTTCTACCAAAATGCTTCCACCTGTTGCGATAAAATCTGCTTGAGTTCTTTACATACTAAATTTGGTATGATTACATATTCAGTAAAAATATACCGGTAAACTCATTTGTCTAATTTTTTTTAAAAAATCACATAGTGGAACTTAATTATTTTTCTCAACAGTTAGCAGGACAATCTTGATTTAAGCAGGACATAAGGAAAAAAACACAAAATATGCCTTGCCTCTGTTTGACCTACCTATCTGAATTTCGTGAAATCATAATGAATTCAGCTTCAGGATTAAAGTTCTGATTCTGCAAGCATACAATCAAAAAATGATTCAATTGGAATACAAGTTACTATAGACATTAGCGAAAATATGTGAAGACAGGAAAATCTGACCTCAAGAAATGACATGTATTCCCCTGGCATAAGTGGCTTTCCATGTACAGAAGGGTCCACTCCCAGGATTTGGTTTGTAGTCAATGGGGATTTAAAAGTTCTCAACTTGCTTCTTTCCCATATTTCAAAATAAGCCCCAAGTGTAAACGTTGAATTTTCAATAAATGAATTGCTGGAGCTCGATTCCCATGGGAGATGAATGTATGGAATACTCCATTCTATGCCCCTAGAAAATTCATAATACTCAACAGGAATGGTAACTACCAACCATTTACAGAGTGCAAAACTTTGGACGTGGCATAAAATCCGCTGTAGAAAAGGAAAGACAAGCAGTCAATATCCTTCACGAATATAGAACCCTATGTCCTAGCA